GACAAAATTATCCATGTTAATCTTGTAAATCTGATATAAACTCTGAAGTATTTTGATCCAGGTAAATATATTCTTAAAGTAGCAACTTTAATACTTCAAGAGAATTTAACTTTCTGGATGCTCAAACTTTACGAGGTTTAGAAGGAAAACTTCAGACTTTACAAGTTTCAGACGAGAAGTTCTGACTCTACTGAAATAGACACTTATACGTTATCTTAAAATGTTAGAGAACTTCAGACTCTAATTTAGAAGGACTCGGACTTTACTGAAGACCTACGCTGACTCAGATTCTGAATAAAAAGCAAGAACTAGAATTTCTTCAGACTCAGAATTTATTCGGAACGAAACATAACAGCTAGTGATCTGGTGTGGATTTCACAAAAGGAAAGTCTTGATTGACTCAATCTAAGCCTAATTGATTGACAATCAAATGTTATGACAAGTATATATCACAAAACTCTACTTGTGAAAACCAAGATTCTAGTTGTATGGACGGCCATATTTAGTGGGATTCGGATTTTGTCAACCAACGGCTATTCAATCCATTTTATACAAATCTGTCCAAGGTGAAGATTGGAAGATGATCCTCTGAAGACTGTCCAATGGCTAGTTTGGAAGTGGAAGAGTATAGAAGGAGACCGATGAGAAGCAGAAGATATAGAACGAAATCGAGAATCAACAAGTCCAAAGTCTGAGCTCATTCCGATTCTATTACTTGTCTTTCTTGAGCTAAATACTGAAATTTTGACGGATACTCTGTAAAAGTGATTGTGTGAGATAGAGAGTTCTATCATTCACCGAGTGATATCACTCAGATCTTGTAATTCCTTTGATCACGTAGTGGAATCCAGCCAGTAGGCTGTCAGCGTGGGAGAGTGAACATAGGCTTGATCTAAGCCGAACCACTATAACTTCTTGTGTGCAATTCTCTCTATCCCTAATCTCTCATTATATTGTTTACACCGTACACTAGCACATTCAGAATCTGAACATTGTTCAGACTTTACTGATTATAAATCGTTTCCGCTTTAAATTCATCAAAATCACTCAAATCACCTATTCATCCCCCTCTAGGTGATACCTGCTAGCTATAACAATCCGAACCACTATAAAGCTCTGTGTGTAAAATTTTATATTTCTCTGCTCATATTCATTTAATGCTTGATAGAAACACTGCACTCGGTAACTTGAATATTACAGGAATCTGATCATATTCATATTCTACTTTACTTGTTCCTGATCATATTCATCTTGACACTTAATTTTTGCAATAGTTTGTCAAGATTTTTTGAAATCATCTATTCACTCCCCTCTATGTGATATTGTTAGCCTACCTCAAGGACTATTCAATATTTTCTCAAGATTTGCCTCGTTTTACAAGAAATTCATGAAGTTTTATTATTTATTTATCACTAGAAAAGTTTTATTATCTGTTTATTGTTCCACAAAGGTTGATAATGACGAACACTACATATATATTTTGTTGATATTTTTATTTGGCGGGTCTTGCAAGGCAAGAATACTTTAGTTGCTTTTAGATGGCCAGTGTTTTTAATGATTTTGATGACTTTACAGGGAATCTTTTTTAGCAAATGCTCCTATGTTTTTTTTTTTTTTTGGGTCAAAGCATATGCTCCTACTTGAAACTAATGCTAATTGAACATCTCTGAAGTTGGTTAGTGGACCAATTAATTATGATTTTCTCTTCACCCAATACATTTGTCGGAGAATAAGGACTTGTTTTTTTGTCGGAGAATAAGGACTTTAAAAAGATGTTAATGTCTACACGGAAGTTCTCAGGTTATTTTTCAGCAACAATGGCATTTTACACTAGGTTCGTGAACTCTTGAATACCCTCTTTGTCATTCTAGTCAGGGAGTTCAGTCATTCCAAAGCCTTTACGAATATAAGTTGCAGAGGGAAGCTCTTACGAAGTTCAAATATCTCACTGATCCTTTAAGATGTCTATGGTCATGGACCGGCGAGGTTTGTTGCGAGTGGGAAGGAGTGGAATGCAGCGAGAAGACAAGCCACATTTTGAAGCTTGATCTTTAAATATGTAATCATTTTCCTGAATTTAAGTATGCATTTTTCGTAAATTAGGAAACATTTTCCGTTAACTCATTTTCCTAAGCAATCCAAACGCCGAAAGATAAGGAAAATATATTCCGCGTAATAAACGGAACCTTTAAACCGTTCATTGGTGCTTAGCCAAGCATCACATGTTGATAAATTTTCTACATGCCCAAAAAATGCATATAATTTACCAACAGAATAATAATTAGTCCTGCCTTTGTGATTGATTTACACTGCACAATAAGTGGGACACCTGACTTTCTCTTCTTCTTCTTTTTTGTTTCAAAAGGATTCCTGACTTAGATAATTATCTTTTTAGAGTGGAACGTGGAGGGTCCGATCTTCGGTGATGGCTCAAGGCTCGGGACAGAAAGAGGAAAGGAAATGAACGGAGGATAATTCGTAGATTATGAATCTAGGAAGTTTGGTTGATTGTGTAGCATTCGGAGATGGCCGAAGTGAGGATTGAAGAAGAGAGGTCGAGTCGAAGAGGCGATTTCGCAGTGTAATCGCCATTGTCGGAGAGAGATGATTTGCTTTGCTCAAGGTGTGGCAGCTGAGGAAGAAGGGGAAGCCAAGAGGGAGAGGGAGAAAGAGTGCGTCACTAATGGAGTCGGCTTCAACACGGTAAGAGAGGAGGAGATAGAATAACACACGGAGAGAGAAGACGGGGGGGTGGTGGGGGGCGCGCGATCAACGAGTGGATTGACCAATAGCTGACTTGGAAAATATTTTCTCTAAGGTTGCTTCTTTTTACAATAAGTTCATGAAGTTTTATTATTTATTTATATTTAGCAAAGGTATATAATTTGTTTGTGGTCCCACAAAAGGTTGATAATGACGAACGCTATATATATTTAAGGGAAAATTTCAAATAAAGCTTTGAAGTGGATGAGTTTTCTTAAAAGAGGGCCCGAGATTAACGATGTCTTAAATAAGAGTATGAAGTGGTCATTTAGTTTTAAATAAGGGCTTAAGTTCTCCGGCCGGTCAAATCTTCATTGGCTAATGAGCACATCTTATTCCGGCCACACAACTAGGGGCATAATCGTCCAAAGACATTTCTTTTTTTTTTAGCTGTCAATTGTTCATCTTCTTCATGCTTGTGCTCGGAGGAAAGTTGCAGCTCTCAAGTTGACCTCTATCTTCTTCTTCAACAACAATGGTGTCCTCAAGCTTACCAACGAGGCGAGTTGCCTGATGGGCCACGCTTTCTACTACTCCTATTCCGGTTCAAAAACTCTCGGGGTGGCGACGCCTCCTCCTTCGTCTTCGTCGTAGTCACTGAGTACCCGAATCTTGGCAGCCAGGGCCTCGCCTTCGACGCCGTCAGGACTTCAAATTCTAGATTTGAATCTGAAGAGTGGGAAGGCGATTTAGGCGTGGATTGATTACGATTCGGGGTGACATCGGATCTCCCCATAACTTGATTCGACCCATTTTTTGCGTTCCCCTTGTTTTCCTTGCCTCCATAAACGCCTTCCTCGGAGAACCAATCTGGTTCATGAACTTGAGTGGAGTCTTCGCGTCGATGCTTGCGAGACCTCGGAGCAGTCCTGCGGCCTCAGGCTCGGAGTCTTCCAGTTCTAGTTCGTCGGCGTCAAGGCCTTCCATGAGCTCCCACGCATTGATGACTTCAGAGCTTCCTCGCCGCGAGCCGTTGACCCTCCCTTCAATCTTCTGCTCTGTACGGTGATTTCTTGTTGCTGCGGGGGCGGCGGTGGCGAAGGCAACCCTTGCTCGTCGCTGTCCAGTCTGAGCATGTCGTAAGTGCTAGAGGTGAGGAAGACCCCATGGATAGGGTGGGTCGTGTGGCCGCCATTGATGACCTGACTATTACCGTGACGAGGATGATGCTATCGACCGTGCTAAGAATATGAACAGTTAAAAAATAAGAAAAGAAAAATAAACAAAAAAAGAAATGACTCTGGACAAAAATGCCCTTGATCGTGCCACCAGAATTAGCACATGCTCGCCGACTAACTAAGATTTGGCCGGCCGATAAGTTCAAACCCGTTTTAGATTAAATGGCTATTTCATACTCTTATTTGAGACAACGTTCGCTTCGGGCTCTTTTTTTAAAAAACTCCACGGCGGTGCCATATTTAAAATTTTTCTTATATTTAATTAATATCTTTATTTGGCGGGTCTTGCAAGGCAATAATACTTTAGTTGCTTTTAGGTGGCCCGTGTTTGACCAGGAACTTTTTTTTGCACAGATACTCTCACTTGAATTTTAATTTTAACTGAATATCTTTAAAGTTGGCTACACCTGAGAAAATATTAGGTGCGGCTGTGATTTTATGATGGCAAAATTCCAGTCGACTCACCAGGCGACACATGTCGCCCGAGCCCATCGCGTCAGAGTCCACATAAATTTTTCAAAAAGCAAGACTCTCTCTCCTCTTTCTGGTACAGCTTCGTCGTAGGGGCAACATGGTTCGTCGGACGGCGGAGGTGGAGACGGCGAGAACAACAGAGCGAGGCAGAGGCGGAGCCGTCGGTATCGGTTAGGGCGGAGGCGTCGGCGTCGGCGTCGAGAGGTACATAGCAAGTCGAGGCGGAGGGCATCGGAAGATCCCGTCGCCGCCAAGTCCGCCCGCTCCACCTCCACTCGTCGCCCTGTTTCAGCTTCCCCTTCCAGACCGCCATGGTCGCCTGAGCACGAGCTCGCGACCATGGTTGCCATATCTCAAGCTCGGGACCACGGTTACTGGAGGTCGAGCTCCGTGTTCATGGCGGCCGCGAGCTCCACGGCCGGCCGATTTGGACAAGCTGTTGGGAGGCACGCCGTCGTCGTCCCATTTTGGTTTTCCATGGAGAAGATAAGGAATTGCAGAGGGGGTGGAGTTCGTGAGGGACAGGAAGAGAGAGAGAAAGTGGGCTCCACGCAGGAGAAAATATCCCTGAAGATTTGGCTGTCAAATGTGGGCCGCTGTCACGTGTGGGCCCGGCGACACGTGTCCATCAACGAGTGGATGCACCCAATATTTTCTCACTTTGGCGCAGAAAATTGGCGTAGAAAATAAGCATTTAGAAAAGATGGGCGCGTCTTCACTTTTTGTTTGGTCATATTTTTTATTTTTTTTGGTCAAAGTTTGGTCATATTGGACGATCAATTTGTTTAGCAATCAGTGGCCCCAAACCCCCACAAACCACCAGGGCCGGTTGTCCCGCTCGCCAGTCGCCACCCAGATCCGGTGCCGGGTTTAGCCACTCTAGTTGAGTCGCTGTGTTGCCGTTGATCGAGGTCGTCGACAAGCTCTCACTGCTCCGTTGCAACGCGCTCGAGGCGTCTTTACGTCCCAGATTTGTCGTTGTGCTGGGGCTCGTCTCTTCGGACCCAGTCTTGATTAAACCGGTTCGCATCCCATTCTCTCTTGCTCTGTTTCAGAATCTTGGCTCTTAAAAGTAATTGTGTTCGCTAAGCAACTAGAGTCGCTGTCGTGTCATCGTTGAGTTCCTACTAGTTGATCCGTTGCCTTGTGATCCGTCGTGGGATTGCCAGTCTCCACACGGAAAGATTTCTAGTGTTGAGGTTGATGCGACTTCACACGGAAATATTTTTAGTGTTGAGGTTGATGTTTTGTATTTTGTTATTCAAGAAATTATGAGGCGGTTTTGAAAGGCCCCGGACGACTGGACATCCCGCTTCCCGGTGAGCGGGTGGGGGTCCGGGGGCCACCCTGGCGGGGGTCGCGGGGCAGCGCTCCCGAGCCGTCAAAGGCGTTTTATGTTCGGTCATAAAAGGATTTATATGGAAAAGCTAAATATTTTAGGCTATATGGATAATTTTATAATTTGTGCCATGTAGGGTTTCGCTATATATATTTAAGGCGAAACAGGTCTCTAGAATAGAGGCAGGGGTGAGAAAGAGTGGCTGTACACTTATTTACGTTATTAGTGAAACGGATCTCTTTTCCCCGTGGACGTAAGTAGGCGGAACATCTCCACTGCTGAATCACGTAAATTCTTGTGTTGTGCGAATTTCCATTACTTTCTTGCATCGTTGATAGGATCGAATTTAGATATTCGACACCTAGTTAATCTCTGTCGCCAATAGGAGTTCATCCATGGCCTGAGTATGTTATTACTATGAATGGTGTGTTGAATAGGTGTTACTGGTGAACTCTTGAGTGTATGTCGTGCTAGGATAAGATGTTACGGAGGTAGGCAAGCTTCGAATATGGACTGGGGATGTGTTATACGCAAAATGGATGATCTATATGGTTGCTGGTATATGCTGGATGCTTGGTATGAGCTGAGTGGTAAGTCGATGAAATTGTAGTGGGTGAGAGAGTGTTGTTATGCGCGCGCTGGGCAAGTGATTTTTAGTAAAATATGATTTTCTCTTGTCCCAATACATTCTTCGCAGAATAAGCATTTTGAAAAAGATGGTAACGTCTTCACTTTTTTCGCCAATATAGACGGAAGTTCCCAGGTCACTTTTCAGCAACAATGGCATTCAAAATCTACACTGGGTTCGTGTCTGCACTCTTCTTGAATGCGCTCTTTGTCAGTCAAGCCATGGAATACGGTCATTCCAAAGCCTTTCCGAATATAAGTTGCATTGATGCTGAGAGGGAGGCTCTTATGAAGTTCAAGCAGGATCTCACCGATCCTTCAAGACGTCTGCAGTCATGGATCGGTGAGGGTTGTTGCGAGTGGGAAGGAGTTGAATGCAGCGAGAAGACAGGCCGCGTCATGAAGCTCGATCTTCGTAATCCCTGTGATGGCTTAGAGTGTAGCCTGGGAGGTAAGATACATCCTGCTCTAAACAACCTGAAGGATTTGAAGTATCTAGACCTTAGCTTCAATAATTTTTCAACCCAAGGAATCCCAAAGTTCTTAGCTTCTCTTAAAAAACTGGAGTATCTCAACCTCTCATCTGCAGGCTTCTATGGACATGTTTCCAGTCAACTTAGTAACCTTTCCAGCGTACGGTACTTGGATCTTAGTAATTTGTGGTGGTGGCCCTCTATTAAAATAGAAAACCTCCGGTGGCTTTCGACATTTTCTAAGTTGAAGTACTTGGACCTGTCTTATGTTCCCCTTCCCAACTCCAAAGAATGGTTAAGTCCTATCAACATGCTTTCCTCCCTGGAGTTTCTGATATTGAAGGGATGTAATTTGGAAGATGTTTCATCCTCTTTGCATGTCAATTTCACTTCTCTTAGATTCCTTGATCTGAGTCACAACTCCATGAATTCATTTGTTCCTCCTTGGTTTCAAAACTTGAGCAAACTCGAACATCTTGATTTAAGTTTTAATAATCTCCAAGGCATATTCCCCACCGATATCCTTGAAAATAGTCGATGGCTTAGATTCCTTGATGTCTCTAAGAATAGGCTGGAGGGTGAACTTCTGAAAAACATGAGCGATTTCTGCAACCTGCAAGTACTGAACTTGCGTTCTAACAAATTTAGTGGGAGGATTTCGGATACCAAAGACGGTGCTTTGATTTGTGGACGAAGTTACATGAAGACTATTGATGTTTCCGGCAACAATTTCAGTGGTCGCCTACCCAATCAATTTGGGGATTTCAAAGATCTTGAATTCCTTGATCTCTCATGGAACTCTATTTCAGGTCCTATACCCGCTACTGTGGGCCAACTATCATCTCTGAAAAAATTGTACCTCTCTTCTAACAAATTGAGTGGGAACATTCCAGAAAGTGTTGGGCGACTATCCAATCTAGAGGTGATGGACATTCGTAATAATCAATTGGATGGAGTTGTCAGCGAACTTCACTTTGCCAATCTCAGTAGCTTGACCGTGTTGAACTTTTATTTGAATGAGCTTGTTGTAAATGTTAGCACATCTTGGGTTCCTCCTTTCCAGATTCAAGTGATTTTCATGTCCAATTGCAAAGTGGGACCACAATTCCCAAGCTGGCTTCGAATGCAAAGGAACATTTCGGTATTGTACATGTCAAATGCTAGCATCTCAGATGAAGTTCCTTATTGGCTACCTGAAGTTTTATCCAACACTAAACGACTGGATCTTTCCGGCAACATGCTCAGAGGCAACATATCCCGAATTATTGGAAAGAAGATGCCACTGTTAAGGCTGGTGTCACTTTCTGGAAATAACCTCGGTGGTGGCATTCCAAATTCATTATGCATGTCTGATGAATTGTCTTTTCTTGATCTCTCCAAGAACCAGCTTTCTGGGAGACTTCCGCAATGTTGGAGGAAGTCGCAAGCAAATTTGGAGTGGATTTCATTGGGAGACAACAAGTTAAATGGTCAGATTCCAGACTCTCTATGCCATCTGGAGCGATTAGGAGTTCTAGGCCTACATGAAAATGGCTTGAACGGAGTGCTTCCAAAATGTTTACTAAAGCTAGATTTGGTAAACCTCGATCTCAGTGACAATCAATTCACTGGTAGAATACCTCCATTTGGACAACATTCTCGATCATTGAGGACAATCGATCTTGCGAGAAATTACTTCAATGGGGACATTCCTTTGCAGCTATGCCATCTTGTTAATCTCCAGTATTTAAACCTAGCACATAACAACCTATCCGGAGGCATTCCTCATTGTTTCAACAACTTCACGCAGATGTGGGCCAACTCCACTTTTACTCCGTATGGGAGGTTCCCGTTGGGGTTTTCTATTATGGTTAATATAAAAGGAAAGAGCCTAGAATACACCACCTCGCTCCGTTATTTATTTTCCATTGACCTTTCAAGCAATGCATTGGATGGAGAAATACCAAAAGGGCTGACTAGGCTGGCTCGACTTCAGAATTTGAACCTCTCTCAAAATAAGTTGATTGGAGAAATCCCTTCAGATATTGGCAACTTGAGAGATTTAGAATCACTGGATCTATCCAATAACAAGCTATCGGGTGAAATCCCTCCTAGCATATCCAATTTAGACTTTCTAAGTCATTTGGATCTTTCCTTCAACAATTTATTTGGTCCTATTCCATCGGGCAATCATCTAAGCACTCTGGACAATCAATCTGTTTATCGTGGCAATGATGAACTTTGCGGAGCTCCTCTTTTGAAAGTTTGTCCTGGAAATGAGCATAATGATATGGACAGACGAGATAGTTACAATACGAGTGAAGATGAGTCTAAAAAAGGCTACTCTGTTGTTTGGTTTTACTCAAGATTGGGAGTGGGTTTCCCGGTGGTATTCTTGGGATTTTGTGGCATATTACATATCTTCCCCTATTTTCGGCGGAAGATTCGATTGTCGAAAAATTGTCGATCGCGAGAGTAATTACCATGCTTTGGTTCAAGAGAGGTTGTCAATTCACACTACGCATATAAGAAGTTATTTAGTAAGTAAAATCACACACACTCGCTCTCTCATGATTCATATTTCCTTTTCCTCGTAATCATTTATTCTGTTGATAGATGATGCTAATTGTTTCTGTCAATTGTCCTCACATTTGTGAGTTGCATGCACCATGACAATTGCCACAAAACTGATAGTTCGTTTCTTCATGATGGAAGATTGCTGCTAAAGCTTCAAGTAATAAGGAAATGCGCACTATTCTCCAACATTTCTTTCTTTCTTTCCAATTGTCAGTACTAAAATGGTGCTCAGGCACACTAAACACAGGTTTCTTTCTTCATCTGGGATAAAAAATTGACGCTTCCCAATCTAATGGGACTGAATATCTATGTTTGACAGTGCGAATTGCCTATTGCTTTACTGTCGGTAGCTTTATATCAACTGCAATTATTTTTTTCCACTTAGTGGGGAGCCCATAAAGTTACCATTTTTTCATTCCTCTCTGTTTTCTTCTTCTTTATCATGAAGGAATTACAGATTTTTAACTTCTAGAATTGAAACAAATGAGAAGGGTCTCTTGACCGTTCGCGGCGATATTTTGTTTAGAAGTCTAAAGAAAAAAAAATTTCAGGCCGTCCATGTATATGCGAGAATGGAGTTGCCCCTGAGAGAGCACCAGATCCAGCAGTTCCATCTCGGCTCAAACACTTCTCTGCTATGAATAAGTTAAAGAAGATGGCTCTGCAGGTAAATATTTGACACCTTTATATTAATCTCTCTCGCTTTGATTGACATACGGCGCACTTTATTTGGGGGCTGGTTCTTTATCTTGAGTGCTAAATTGTGTTGTGTTCTTCGCATTTATTGTACAAAACTTGTGCCGTATGGCGAATTTCACATTGCTATTCTCGATGGAATAACGTAAATTTTAGCTGCAAAGTGCAAGTCCCCTTTTCATCCAAAAGTTTGCAGAATCACAATTCTCTTATGCTTTGCTACTCTGAGATGTGCACTTGTCCTGTTGAATATTTTAAGATCCCTGCATCTCATTTAACTGTACGAGACTTACATGTTATTTGATCTGCACCAAGTCCTCTTTGGATTATGAAAATGGGGTTTAATTGTAACAAATTTTAATGCTTGTGCTGGTCTCACCAGGTAATTGCGGAAAGTCTCTCCAAGGAGGAGATTGCTGGTTTGAAAGAAATGTTTAAAGCGATGGATACTGATATCAGTGGCGCAATCACCTTTGATGAACTTAAAGATGGTTTGCAAAGATATGGCTCCATGATGAAGGACACGGAGATACGTAATCTCATGGATGCTGTAAGTACATTGCTTGTAGGATCTTTTGTTTTCGCTTAAGACTGAGTCTTTAAATTGCATCCTCGGTCGACTTTTCCCAAGCTGTTCTTAAAGTTGAACATCAACTAAAACCAATCAGATAACTAGTCCATCTGATGCATATATTTGGTCATCTTAGAGTGATGTCTGATTTCATTCTGCAGGCTGATGTGGACAACAGCGGAACACTATGGCGAATTTATAGCCGCAATAATTCACTCCCACAAATTCGAATGTGAAGAGCATCTAATTGCAGCCTTTCAGTACTTCGACAAGGATGGAAGTGGTTATATTACGCTTGACGAGCTCTAGCAAGCTTGCGCCGAGCATAATATGACTGATGCTTCATTGAAGATATCATCAAAGAAGTTGCTCAGGATAATGTGAGTCCATCAATATATTGTTTTGAAAATCCCTAAGGATTTTAATAATGACAAAACTATCTCATACGATTTGATGCAAGTGTTATTTCTGTCCAGGTATCTATTGTTGATTCAACACTATTGAATCTACTATACCTAATGCGATGTGAAAGAACTTAAAGGACTAAAAGGACCGTAAGGGTGAATAAGTCAAAGAGAATGAGAAGTTCGTGAGTGCTTGAAGGACCAATAGGTGAACAGATCTGTAGAAGTCTAACTTGTTGAAAAAACCTCCTAGTATATTTTAAAGTTGCTAAAACAATCCATGATTCCTTTCGAGCTTGATAAATGCAAGTGTTGTTTATGCCCCAGGAAATATCCGCACAAAAGGAACTTAGATGTGCAAAGTGAAAAGATTCTAAATATCTGGAAGGACCTTTGTGAACAAGTCTCGAAGAAGGGGGAGTCCATAAAGACTTGGAGGTACCAAGGTGAATAGTTTGGAGAATCTTCATAACCATCGTACTCGAAGTAAGTGTTGGAGAAACATCCCTAGAAATTTTAATGATTCCCAAGCTATCCTTGGAATAATATCTACTATGATAAGTGCAGATGTTCGAGATGATTATTAAGGACTATGTGATGTCCATGATATATTCATTGGATGAAGATTGCAAGATGTTCTTGTACGGACTGCCCGTAAACAGCATCAACTGACTATGATTGTCAGCTAATGATGATTTCTATGTCACTTATGAGGATATCACGTCCCTAACAATGCTGGAATAACGATCATCAGAGAATGTTCATGGAAGGATTAAATATAGCTATTGGTAGCTAGAACAACACAGCAGAAGAATCAGAAATTGTCAGAGAAAGTGAAACTGCTTTTTGTTAGAACTGTCAAAGTGACCAGCGATGTTACGGCAGCAAAAGAACCCAATTTGGGAAAGCCTATTGATGTTTGTAGGAAAGGACTGTTCGAGAAGTCTAGCTTTCGAACAACAGCTACTGATGAATCCTAACGGCTACTTGCTTCTTGGGACAATCTCCAACAGGAAGATTGAAGATGTATATAAAAGAGAAGGTCGTTGAAGTCGAAAGGTGTAGGACAAAAAATCTAGAACAAGCTGAAAGTACTCATCATTGCATTTTGAGAAAATTGTTTTCATTCATTGAGATTTCCAGAGTAGTTTTCTTGCTACGTTGTAATTGAAGAAGATTAAGTGTACACATTTGATAGCAGCATTTGAGTCTTGATAGTGTGATCTATCGTAAAAAAAAAATCAATGCTTGCTGGTTGTATATTATCTTGGTGATTACTAGTGCAATCCAGCCCAACTTGTGGTTATTAGTTTGGAGAGTGGACGTTGGCTTACTAAATAAGCCGAACCGCTATATATTGCTATGTGTTATCTTTACTTCTGCTTTTATCTGATATTTACACATTAACACCACTTGATATTCTTAATATTAGCATCTCCATCCAAGTATTATTTCGTGATTTCTGCAAAATCTTTACTACAACCTATTCATCCCTCTTTTGGTTGCATAGTTAGCCTCAACAGTTAGTATCAGAGCTCTGTTGCTTGTTGTTTGAAATGTATTTCTTCTTAGCAGAAAGATTCTTATTTGTGGCTAACTTTGATGGTTTTTGTACAAGTGATTCTCAAGCTCCTAGCAAGTCTCCATACTTCGATGGCAGAAACTATGGCTACTAAAAATAAAGAATGCAAGCTTATGTCGAAGCAACTGATCTCATTATGTGCGATGTTATTGAAAATGGAGTGGCAAGCTCAAGCTCCTTCACGATAGTAAGAAGAAGAAAAGATCAAGATGCTGAAGCTGCAGGTGTTGCTGCTTGTGTAGTGGAAGCTCAGAGAAGAGCTACTCAAAATACTAAGGCTAAATATCTCTTATATTGTGCTTTATCTACATATGAGTTTAATAGAATTTCTTCCTGTATTAACATCTAAAGAAATTTGGGATTGCCTCCTAGTTACATTCGAAGGAACTAATAGAGTGAAGAAGACAAAGATGAACATTCTTTTAGGAAATTATGAGCTATTCAAAATGAAATTCGATGAAACAGTAATATAGATGTTCACAAGATTCACTGAAATAGTGAATGGCCTAGCAAATCAAGATAAGATCTTCACTGACGGAGAAAAAATGAAAAAGTTGCTAAGAGCACTTCCAAAAGAATGGAGCAACATAAAGACTTTGGTACGCGAAACCATGATAATTCAACCCATCACTATGGATGAGTTGCTAGGCACACTGATGTCATACGAATCAAAGCATCTAAATGAGAAAAACAACTCCAAAGATAATAAAGCTATAGCATTTAAAGCTAATAATGACAATCCGGGTGAAGAAACATCATCAGAAGATGACGATGATGAGGATATGACATTATTCACCACAAAGTTCAAGAACTTCATAAGGAGGAAACTACAAAGGAAGAAGACGCCCCAAATTTTCAGAAGAAAAGAAGCCATCCAAAAACAAAGAGGAAGCGAAAGGTAAAGATATTGTTTGTTATGAATGCGGGAAACAATGATACATAAAGCCAAATTGTTCATTTGTCAAGAAAATGAAAGGCAAGTTCGAGAAGAAGAAATGTGCACCAAAAGCTAAAACGTAGAGTAACACCGAGTTCGAATCCAGTGATGATGATGATGCACATCTCTACCTCATGGAAAACTCCAAAAGCAAAGAAGAAAATGAGGTAAATGCTTTTAAACTATCATTTGAAGAGATGCAGGATTTTCTAACAGAAATGTTTGGGGAGCACAAAAAGGCTTCCCAAAGAATTTCTGAAATGAGAAAGGAGACTACGAAACTCACTAGTCAAAACAACCACGAGGTTTGGAAGACCCAAACAAGATCAACAATGTATATCGGCTGAAGAACGCGTTCAATGGACTCAAACAAGCACCAAGAGCTTGATGTGAGAGACTAAGCACATCTTTGGTCGAGCATGATTTCAAAAAAGGTATGGTGGATACAATGCTCTTCATCAAAAGAAAAGATAATGATATCCAACTAATTCAAATTTATGTGGATATCTTTGGATTTACTAATGAGACACTATGTAAGGAATTTGCTGATATAATGAAAAGTGAGTTTGAAATGAGCATGATAGGGGAACTCAGCTTCACTTGCAAGAGATGGCAACTTTATATATCAAGACAAATATGTGAGAGAATTGGTAAAGAAATTTGGACGGGAAAATTGAAAAAAAGTGGATACACCAATGTCCTCTGCCACCAAGCTTGATAAGGATGAAAAAGGTAAGTCCTAAGGACCTAAGTTTATCTAGGTACCAAAGAAAAGATGAAATTCTTCTTTCTTGTAGGTTATAAAGAGGAAGAACAAGTGGTATCTCGACAGGATGATCGCTGCGAATGACTGCTGATCCTTCCAAGTTCTTAAGTCTTGTCCAAGTCGATGGTGGAATTGTCACCTTCAGAAGAAAGGATAAAGGTAGAATTGCTGGTAGATGCAACATCAAGTTGGGAAACCTGATTATCGGGGACGTGTCTCTGATCAAGGGAGTCAAACATAACTTGATTAGCAAGGCCAATTGTGTGACAAAGGCTTCATAATCAGCTTCGAGGAAGGTATGTGTATTGGAGTAAGTAAAGATAAATCTCAATCATTTACTGGAAAAAAGATAAGATAGTATTCATTTGGTTGATCTTGATTCTAATGTTGTTAATTTGTCTTGTATCTATAAAAGATGAAAAAGAGTTATGGAATAGACAGCTTGGTCATATTAACATGAAACAGATTTCTAAGCTCTCTGCTAAGGACCTAGTGCATAGATTGCCTAAAATCAAATTAAAAATATGAAATGCGCAATGCATGTTCTTTCGATAAGCAATTAAATAGCTCCTTCATGTTTATAAATGCTGTTAGTACTAACCTGGTCTTGCGACTATTACATATAGACCTATTTGGACCAACAGGGAACTAGCTTTGGTGGTAAAATGTACTATTTGGTGATCGTGGATGACTATTCAAGGAATACTTATGTAATGTTCTTAGCTCATAATCATGAAACATTTCATTCCTTCGTGAAATTTGCAAGTAAAGTTCGAAATGGTTATAGCATTTTGTCTAAAAATCGTATCATGGCAAAGAGTTTGAAAATCAAAACTTTTTCGAATTTTTAGCACAGTTTCTCTCTTCTTACACTCCTCAACAAAACGAAGTTGTGGAGAGAAAGAATCCATCTCTACAAGACATGGCTAGGACCATGCTGATAGAGAGTTGTGTTCCTACTTAATGTTTAGCTAAAGCTATTTCTAGAACCTACATACCACGAAATTTATTAAAGTAGACGAATAATATGCATGAAAACCTATTCGTGCATAAACTAAGCTATTATGTATAAAACATACATAGACGAAGTTACTGCATACCACCGCCCGCAGCGGCTGCGTTGGCTTGCGCTCTTGTCCCCCCACGAAGGGATCGGAGTTCGAACCCCAGCGTAATCGTTAGGGATTCTTAAGTGTGGCGCCGTGATGGTGGGTCCTGCGCTAGCGTCACCCCAGGTCGAGATTTAGATTGTTTTAACAATCTAAATCATAGATGTTATTAGCAATTGACGGAGGTCTAAATCATAGATTTTTTTTTTGATGACCCAAGAACCCCCCACACAATTGACGGAGTTCTAACTTGAAGTACTTGGACTTGTCTTATGTCCCCCTTCTCAACCCCAAAAATTGGTTTAGTCCTATCAACATGCTTTCGTCCCTAGAGTTCTTAAAATTGAGGGGATGTTATTTGGAAGATGCTTCAGGCTCTGTGCATGTCAATGTCACTTCTCTTAAATTCCTTGATCTAAGTCACAACTCCATGCAATCATCTATTCCTCCTTGGTTTCAAAACTTGAGCAAACTCGAACATCTCAATTTAAGTTTTAATGATCTCCAAGGCGTATTCCCCACTGTCATCCTTGCAAATAGTCGGTCGTTTAGATTCCTTGATGTCTTTAAAAATAAGCTGGAAGGTGAAATTTTGAAGAACATGAGCATTTTCTGCAACTTGCAAGTACTAAGCTTGCGTTCTAACAAATTTAGTGGGAGGATTTCAAACAGCGGAGACAATGCTTTGATTTGTGAACAAAGTAACCTAAAGACTATTGATGTTTCCGGCAACAATTTCAGTGGTCAACTGCCCAATCAATTTGGGAATTTCAAAGATCTCGAATTCCTTGATTTTTCATGGAACTCGATATCAGGCTGTATTCCCGCTATTGTGGGCCGGCTATCATCTCTGAGAAAGTTGTACCTCTCTTCTAACAAATTGAGCGGGAACCTTCCAGAAAGTACTGGGCGACTATTCAATTTAGAGGAGATGGACATCCGTAATAATCAATTGGAGGGAGTTGTTAGCGAACTTCACTTTGCCAATCTCACCAGCTTGACCGTGTTATACTTTTATTCGAACGAGCTTGCTTTAAATATTAGCGCATCTTGGGTTCCTTCTTTCCAACTTCAAAAGATTCTCATGTCAAGTTGCAAAGTGGGACCAAGATTCCCAAACTGGCTTCGAACACAGAGGAACATTTCGGTACTGGACATGTCAAATGCTAGCATTTCAGATGAAGTTCCTCATTGGCTACCTGACGTTTTATCTAACATTGAACTGTTGGATCTGTCGGGCAACATGCTCAGAGGCAATATATCTCGAATTATTGGAAAAAAGATTCCCTTATTAAGGCTAGTGTCGCTTTCTAGAAATAACCTCAGTGGTGGCATTCCAAATTCATTATGCATGTCAGATGAATTGCATGTTCTTGATCTCTCTAAGAACCAACTGTCTGGGAGACTTCCTCGATGTTGGAGGAAGTCACAAGCAAATCTGGAATGGATTTCATTGGGAGACAACAAGTTAAATGGTCATATTCCATACTCTCTATGCCATTTGGAGCGATTAGGAGTTCTAGGCCTACATGAAAATGACTTGAATGGAGTGCCTCCGAAATGTTTACTAAAGCTGAATTTGGTATACCTCGATCTTAGTAACAATCAATTCACTGGTAGAATACCTTCGTTTGGACGACACTCTCACTCATTTGAGATAATCGATCTCAAGAGAAATGACTTCACTGGGGACATTCCTTTGCAGCTATGCCATCTTGATAATCTCCGATATTTAAGCTTAGCGCATAACAACCTTTCCGGAGGCATTCCTCGTTGTTTCAACAACCTCTCGCTAATGTGGGCCAATTCCACTTTTACTCCATATGGGAGATTCCCGTTGGGCTTTTCCATTACGGTTGATATGAAAAGAAGAAGCGTAGAATTCACCACCACACTTCGATATTTATTTTCCATGGACCTGTCAAGCAACGCATTAGACGGACTAATACCGGAAGGGCTGACTTGGCTTGCCCAACTTCGGAATTTGAATCTCTCTCACAATAAGCTCCTTGGAGAAATCCCTGCAGATATCGGGAACTTGAGAAAGTTAGATTCACTTGATCTGTCCAATAACAAGCTATCGGGTGGAATCCCTCCTAATATAACCAATTTAGACTCTCTAGGTTGTTTGGATCTTTCCTTCAACAATTTATCTGGTCGCATTCCATCAGGCAATCATCTAACCACCCTAGACGATCAATTTTTTTATCGCGGCAACGATGGACTTTGCGGAGCTCCTCTGTTGAGAGTTTGTCCCGGAGATGATCATAATGACAAGGACGGACGAGGTGGTAACAATACAATCGAAGATGAGTCTAATGAAGGCGACTCCATTGTTGTTGGGTTATACTCGGGATTGGGACCAGGTTTTACAGTGGGAATCTTGGGATTCTGTTGTATATTACATCTCAAGCAATCTTGGAGGATTTCCTATCTTCGGGCGGTGGATAGGATTATTGTAAAACTGTCGATCCCGAGGATGATTACCATGCTTTGGTTCAAGAGAGCTTTTCAATTCCGACTACGCAACTAAGAGGTTATTCAGTAAGTAAAATCACCCTCTGTCTCTCATTATTTATATTTCTTTTCCTCATTTGTTGATAAATGTTGCTAATTGTTTTTAGCATTTATCCTCACAATTGTGAGGTACAGGTGACACCCTGCATGAAAGTATGCATTGACTTATCCAATTCCAGAGATATGCGTCTTTGCAACTACTATGAACCTGATAGTTCCTCTCTTCATAATGGAAGATTGCCATTGAAGCTTCTTCTTTTTTTTTTTTTGGTCCAATGCTATTGAAGCTTCAAGTGATGAAGTTGTGCTCATTATTCTCCAACATTTCTCTCTTTCTATCCATTTGGTTATAAAGTAAAAGGTCTCTTGCTTTTGTCCAATAGAATAGGGCACTTATATTAATGTAAAATGATCATGTCCAATAGAATAGGGCATTTATATTAATGTAAAATGATTAGACTCTGTGAGCCAAAGTTCGATGATTCTACGATTTCGTAGGGTATAACTTTGAATATCGTTTCATGCTGATAACATGTGAAAAGCATTGATAACTATCAAAACACGTCAGCAACGAAGTTTTGATTGGCAACGAAGTTCAGTCGATAACACATTGATAAGTTACCAACACACAGGTCCACTGTTCAGAGAAGCTTGTATTGAAAAAGAGGCCACTGCCCCTGCTCGCCAAATCGCACTTATCAATCCGTTTGCTGCTTTCGAGCATTCGTGTCACTGCTGCTGTTCGTATTATCACGAGGTGTCGCTAAGTCGCCATGAACTACCTCCGATGCTTGATTTTGATCTCTTTCACATCGGTTCAGGTATTATGTAGTTTGCGCTCTTTGGGATAATGACTCCGTTTAGGATCCAATTTGGTTTTAAAGTTTTTTAAATTTTCTTTACTAATCGGTTGATTTGGTCGCCAATTGTGAATATACTGTTAATTATTTCGATGAGATCAAAGCTTGGCCATCAAACTGTGTTTGCTGGGACTTTAAATTGGAGCCACAAGTAGATAGGACTACACTGTGATTAAAATTCCTGTTATGTCTCTATACGTGAATGATAACCATTCTCTTTCCCCTTTTTTCTATTTTTTTGTTTCCGGGAACACGTTTGGAACAGAAATCCGTTTGGTAAAATAATTTCATTTTTTTATTTCTAAGACAAATTTTGGCCCAGAAATATATTTAGAACAGAAATGAAAAGTTAAAATTTTTACTTCTCTATTTCTGGAACAGAAACAGAAATAACAACTCTCTCTTATTATTCACACTTGCCACCCACCGCCGCTGGCCGCTGACCGTCCGCCGCCGCTCGTCGGCTGTCCGCCGCTACCTGCCACTGTTGCTCGCCGACCACTCCCCGCCGCTGCTTGCTGGCCATCCGCCGTCACCCGACCGGCGAGAATAGAAATTTTGCTTCGTTATCAAATGAATTTCTATTCCGAGAACAGAAATTTTGTGTCGTTATCAAACGCTACTTTTTTACTCGAAAACTTGTCCGGGAAAGTGAAATAAATTTTAATTTCTAGCCAGAAATAGAGCAGGGGGAAAGAAATGTTATCATTCGTGCCCTCAAACTATGCAAGGATTATTCTTGTTCCTCGATTGTAGTTCGAAATGTTTGTGTCGAGTGAAATTGTTTGTTTGGGTGCTAGAAATTCTGGATTTACATGTCAATCTAGCCTAATTGCATTGTGTAATTTCAATTAGATCATACACTTTGCGTATTAGGAGAGGATCTTGCATTAAATTTGCATCATGAAATTGAGATTGCATTATTATTTAATCGTCATATTTGCACATTTATTTCCATAAATCACATGTCATTAAAAGGAAAATATTTTAGACTGTGTCTTCATTAAAAAAATCCTAAAACATGTCTAGGGGTGCAATTAACGGAATCCACATATTCATATTATATAACTAGATTTGTTTTCTTAGGCTTCTTTTGTTTCACAGAAAATAAATGATTAGGAAAACAGTTTTTAAAAAATGATCGCTTTTACCTCTTACAAAAATTAATGAACAAAAGATATTTTCATCATCCATAAAAATGTTTAAACATAAATTGTTGTCGGTAATAAAAAAAAATACATTGACTACTTATTTTAAGTAATAAAAGCGATCATTTAATCATTCATTTTCTGCGAAGCAAACAGAGCCGTAGTATTGTCTAGCATTTTAGATTGCATTAGCTAAATTTTTGTTTCGAACGTTTAATAGCTCATTTTAGGAAAATAATTTATTTGAGGTTCATTTTTGCATAACACATTAGATCCGAATATTTATATTTCATTTGATAAATTAGTCTATATTAGAGAAGTTGCATAGACTTTCCCTTTACAACTCACCGGTCTAGTTTTAGGGTTTAATAACAAGGTGGTGTTAAATTTTTCCAGATACGGCTTGGATTATCTTTTACCGCACTATATTTTTTATTGCTATTATCGTACCGTATTTGATTATCACTTTGTTCATATTTGGTTGTATGAGTACTCTTGCAGGATAATTTAGATTTACTTGTTTTAAGAAAAAAAAATAACGTGATAAATTGCATGAAGTGTTTTCCGTAAAAGAGAAAAGGTACAAAATTAGGTGTTAGATAACATCTACCTAATCAACTCCCCATGCCCCAAATTTCTAGTTTGTAGAATTAAAACGAACTTCTGCGTTTTACTTGACTTCTAATTAATCTATGATAGATTAGTGGCGATTTTTAAAGTAAAAACAATCGGCATAATTAAAATGAGAAAACCAAGTTGCGATCGATGGGGTTTGGAGAGCCCATGTCAAGAGTAAGCGTCATCTTGCAAAAGTGACCACCTGCATCCACTTGGCAAACCGTCAAATCCTCTCCAGAATTTGATTATCACTTTGTTCATATTCGGTTGTATGAGTACTCTTGCAGGATAATTTAGATTTACTTGTTTTAAGAAAAAAAAAAATAACGTGATAAATTGCATGAAGTGTTTTCTGTAAAAGAGAAAAGGTACAAAATTAGGTGTTAGATAAAATCTACCTAATCAACTCCCCATGCCCCAAATTTATAGTTTGCACAATTAAAACGAACTTCTGCATTTTACTTGGCTTTTAATTAATCTATGATAGATTAGTGGCGATTCTTAAAGTAAAAACAATCGGTATAATTAAAATGAGAAAACCAAGTTGCAATCGATAGGGTTTGGAGAGCCCATGTCATGAGTAAGCATCATCTTGCAAGAGTGACCATCTGCATCCACTTGGCAATCCTTCAAATCCTCTCCAAAATTTCCCCTTGGGAAAGTTGCGACAAAGGATGTCCTATTTTCGGGCGATGGATAGGATTATCAAAAAATTATCGATCATGAGGATGATTGCGATGCTTTGGCGCAAATAAGAATTGTTAAGTAATCTGAACAGGCATTCTAAAACACGAACTTAGGATGTTTGGTTTATGAGTGTATGGTCTAGACCTATCAAACAGGTGGGTCGAGTAATAAATGGTCCGACCCAAATTGACCCATTTATCGCAAGGGAAATTTCCCAACCCATACCTGACCTAACCCATACCCAACTCATACCCAACCCAACCCATTTAACTAAATCTAGGAAAACTTATTTCTGCTAATTATTTTAAAAAATTGTATTGCTAAAACATTTTCATGTAATACAAATCTATTGGACAATTTTTATACATATTTTTTTAAAAAAATCAGCCTATGTTTATTTCACGAAAGATATGACTATCGTGACCTACCTCACGAAAGCCAAACTCAATAAGGCGAGTTTAGAGGTAAGTGTTCATGAAACAGTCCATACGGCATATCATAAAAGATGGCTTACCGAAGCGACAATATTTCAATCATCCGTATGGTCCATTAATCATGAACGTGGATTTTCCCTAATCCATACCTCGCGTGACAACGGATTGATTTTATCTTTTTTAGGAGTCACCACTAGCCTAGGTTGAGGGTCGGCTAGAATACCCAATCAATACGCGGGAATTTCGTATTAGTTTCTACGAAAACCAGAGACCATGGATTCGGGGACTAGCTTACGTTAATATTTCTATTAATGCCTTTTCGGTACAGCTAAACTTATCATGGTTGTTATCTAAGTTGTCATGCATTTATTTTTTACCATTTTCATGTCAAAGCTTTAGTCCACTAAGTGATCATGCATCTTGTTTTTGTGTTTTCATTTAAGATTCTAAACTAATCCTATCTTAGTCTAGAAAAGAAAAAAATAAACAATTGTATTGAAAAGCATTGCGTAAAGTAAACAACCAAGGTATTGAAAGAACTAGCTAATTCTAAGTGCAAGAAAGAAAAACCCGCAACTCATCGGGTGTTTATACAACGCGAAAAAGAAACCCGAGACATATGTCGGGTAATAAATGAATTTTTACAAGAAAATATATCGGAATGGACATCGACCATCACTGTATACAAACAATAGAGTCGGAATGGACACCGACCTTCGCCATCTTCAAGACCGTCGTCTTCTTGAACCTATTCTAACCCTAATCTAAAATTGAGACTAAAGAAAGAACAACAACAAACAATATACAATCACAAAGTACACAACATCACAAGTCAATCAAAGATAACAAACAAGTCACAAAGAATTTCAAAGATGGCCTCGGGGTCGGCCTTTGTTCAAACATGCATCGATACCCCTTATTATCTACCCATGTTCATTTTAGACACAATTCATGGTTATTAACTACCATTGGTGTTCACCAACAACAATTAATGCCATGAATTCCTAAGTCAGGTTCTATGTGTAATCCCAATTTGGACCCACGATCATGTACCGTCCTTAGGCATACATCTAAAAATCATATGTATAGAGATGAATTAAACATGCAGGCAGGTCGAAAAACCTTGATTCTCATCCAATCACTTAAATTAGTGAACCGACATCGGATCACTTCATTCAATTCATCACGCGCCAATCACAAGCACATGCGCTAAAAAATTGATAAATTGTGTGATTATTAAAAAATGAATTTTTTGCAGGTGAGTGGAATGACAATT